AATCACCAATTAACCTCAGAATGTTTCTGGACTGTGGGAGGAAGCCGGAGAACCTGGAGAGAACCCACGCTGCACGGGGAGAACATGGAGACTCCGGGGCGCTGTTATAGCTCACCTGGTTGAGCTGGCATCCCATGTATAGGGGCTACAGTCCCCCATGCAGCAATCATGGGTTCAAGTCCTGCTCATGACCCTTTGCTGCAGGTCCCCCATTCTTCTCCCCCCACTTTCCTGTATCTGTCTCTGTCCTATCTAATAAAGCCAAAAAAGGCAAAAAAATGTCTTAAAACATGGAGACTCCACGCAGAAAGATCCCGGGTGTCCTCACCGGGACGCGAACCGCCGACCTTCTAGCTGCGAGCCATCTTGCAACCCAGAAAATTTTCAATAAATAATAAATATTTTATTTCAAAGTGGGCAAAAACTAAAGCGATTTCCACATATCCTTTATTATAGGACAGTGCCAGAACTAAATATACTTCTTGAGTCTGGTGTTTAAGTTTAAGAGCTCTAATGTGTGCCTGTTGCATTTGAAATAAGGGGCTGACTTGAGCTAAAATAAATACGCTAACTTGCACCATTACACCACCAACCATTTTCTACCAGCATCTCTCTCTTGCAACTTTTGCAGCAACTGTTGTTTTTGCCATAACAAATCTGTATGTTCTTCATAGCGTTCCATTATAACGACCTGTTCCTCTCGACTAAAGCAGGCAATCTGTTCACTTTGTGTGGAAGAATTTACAAAATGCATCTTTCATGTGCACAAGAAAATCTGGTTAACAAAAAAAAAAAAGCTAGGGTTTCAGGTTTTATCAAGCCAGTTAACTCAAAGAAAGTCTGGCTTTGTCAAACTTCAGAGTCCAACTTTTTGTTCTTCTGATTGCTGCATGATTTGTGGGTGCATTTTACACATTAAATGGTGCCCAGATATGATCCACAGACTAACAGATGGGTTGGTTAAGGCAAGAGGAACTGGGGGGGAAACAAAAGAACAAAAAGACTCAGGAAGTGCAGAGAGCTGTTTGTGCCTCTCACCGGAGATCGATGTTTTTCAGGTGGCTCATTCTGACCAGAGTGCACAGCTCCAGACTCTCCACTCTGTTCCCAGCCATCGCCAGTTTGTCCACCGCGCTCAGTCTTTCCAGCACAGCAGGGATGTGAGAGAAGTTGTTGAAGGAGAGCCCCAGGCTGTTGAGCTGAAACAGGCCACCCAGCTCTTCAGGCAGGGAGCTGAGGTGGTTTCCATCCAAAGACAGCGTCTGTAGGCTGCGAGGTGAAAAAGGACGAAACAGGCATGTTATGTTTTCCTTCACTTCAGAGAGTGGTCAGAATATCTGCTGGTATCCATTTGTTGTTGTATGTGCTGTTTATGGAGCAACATCCCACAATAAGCAGCTTCAAGAGTAAAAAAAATAAATATACCTGTTTTAATCTGATTTAATAAGAAAATATTGTCATCTTGTGCATTTCATTCCTTAAAACTTCAGTCAAGAGAGAATAAAGTTGTGTGTGCAGTGGCTTAAAGGAGCAAACCACAACAGTACACAACAACAAAAGAGGAAATACAGTGAAAATCTGATGCCCCTGGTATATACAGTCAGATCTTTAAGAGTTGAACATAATTGGGGATCCAAGAACCTCTTTTTTATTAAAGCAACTGGACTTCTCTTTTTGGTTCTTACAGATGCTTCATCCAAGAGGTCTTGTGAAGCCTCGTGGATGAAGGAGAAACATTTTCCACACCTCTAAAACATCTTCTTGCCCTGACCTGGACGGCTGAGAATCTACACAGACAACACAATTATCAAGCTTGTTCATATTCATTTTTGTCCCCATTGCACCTCCGTCTCAGGTATTCACTCAGACCGTCTACATGGAGACTTGATCATCACACAGTTGTAGCATCAAATGTAATTTTGTGAGCTAATAATGCATATGCTAGCAAAAGTGCAGCACAGACAGTATGTGTGCGTCGTACCTCTGCAGGTTTCCTATCTGCACAGGGACGGTGTGGAGACTGTTACAGGACAGGTTGAGCTCAGTCACCGTGAGGATCTCACACACACATTCAGGAAACACACCCAGACGGTTGTGAGATAAGTTCAGGCTCTTCAGCTGGGAGAACCTGAAGAAAAACAGAGAACAGTATGTCAGATCTGTTAAAAAAAAGAGCTATAAAAAATAGTTTTCTTGCTTACCATGTTTACAGTGACAACACAGGGAGTGATGTGTGTGTCCTGTTATCATTTGAACGATATCATGTGTCACAGTGTCAGAAAAAAAGTTGAAAAGATGCATTTAAGAGAAACACAGTAGTTTTACTTCTTCAACAAAACAGCTATCAAAGCTTGTGGTCTAAACTAAGAAGGAAGTTGCTGCTGCTCAGTTCATGTGGGCAACAGAAGAACAGTGAAAATTAATCTGCTGAGGCTGAGCAGCTGTTCTTGAAAGTTAGGATGAAAATCTCCAACAGGTCTACAGTTTAGCGCCACTGCTTGTGCTTCATGTTATTGAGATCGTAGCGACATCTGAGACCTCTGTAACACTGAGAGACTGAGACTGGGTCTAATTCACTGAGATTATGAAGAATAAGTTTAAAAGGAAAACACGATCATTAACTCATATAAACGTATGCAAAACTCCAAATCAAAGCAATCAAGCAAAATAGCGGTCAACAAAAACCACGGCGACCCAGCTCAGACCCTCTCTTCCTCCGACAATGAACAGGTGAACAGGTGTGAGCTTAAATCCCCGCCCATCCACGGGAGCTGCTGTCCCCCTATCCAATGTGTCCAACAAAATTACATTACACTCGGTTAAAAAAATATATTTTGTTGAAGGTGTCTAGGATTTTTTAACTGACGTTCTTGCAACGCTGAATCCAAAAATAACGTCTGCTTTTCTGTATTAGGTCAGGTTTTTATGTCAACTTGATTTTTTTTTTAAAAATTAAAAATCGATTTTGCCACTAAATCACATTTTCTGACATTAGCGACTGATTTATTTTAGTATTTCTCATATGAAATCGGATTTTAGAGGAAAAATGTCATTTTCTAATCCTTTTCATGAGCTAAATGATCCAAAAGTTGATGAACATTTGTAAATACAAGTAAATTGCATGTTTCATCAGCATTGCTCAAAATTCAGGGCTTGAACTTGCGCTTCTTGGAACTCCAGGTTTATCTCTCTTTAGAGTCCAGCAGGAATCATACCTGATACCTGGTCTCCATCTCTTTCTGATAAAATCACGTGACTCTAACGTGTTGTTCATAAACCAGGAGGTAAACTTTCTATCTAAATTTAATTCACCTGCAAATATTTAATGCATCATCCTGTAAAGGTTTCAGAATTTGTTCATTTCAGGAAACAGAAAAAGAATTTTGTCAGATATGAAGCATAGATACCTACATGTACACAAACATTTAAAACAAACAAACAAACAAAAAAAAAAGGTGCATGTGGCGACAAATCAAAATTTTGACCTCACTGAACAAAACCAATGTAATGTTTGGATTCAGCAGATTGCAATTGTCCAAAATCAGCTCAAAAAACTTGTTTTATAACCAAAATATCAATAATCAATCTGCCCCTTAACCTCATAACAAAATAAAGATGTACTCATGGCTCCTACAGAGATGGATGAAGTGTTTAAATCACCCTGTTGGTGCTCTGATATGTCCAGCTGATGATATAACTTAGTTCAGAGCAGCCAGTCATACGCTGGATGAAGATGATTTGACATATTTTACTCCTAAAGTCTCAGCTGTAAAGTGAAACACATTCATATGCATTAAATCCGCCGTGTACGTTCACATCTGTGACCACGAGACCAGGCTGTGATGAACGAAGCTACATCTTGTGCATGAACTCCACCTTCCTCTTGGTCCCTCAGCTGCTGTGAGTGTTGAGCTGCCCTGAGTTTCCTTTTTTTCCCTAAATGTACAAATAAGGAGGAGGGCGCTCCAGGAATCAAAGGGTTAAAGACAATTAATTCAAAACGTTAATGAGTAAATCTTCTTCCTAGCAGAACGGGGTCCTCATGTAACGTCATGTAATCATTGTGTGTACACACACCCAGTCAACCGGAGCTAAAGGAGTCGAAGTCGATTAACACGTAAGAGCAATACGTCTAATAATAAACGCAGCTTGTTTATATGAGCTCAGAAGTGGACGCGCTGCTACGTCCTGTGTGATGGATGGCACTCCACACATCCGACGTAAACGAGAGTGAAGATGTAAATTATGTGCTTATATAAAGAGCATCACAAATATCACGACACAGCGTAACACTCAAACAGCTGAGCAGCGAGGGAGCTGGTGAGAGCAACATGCTGCCGTCGTAGCACTCAGGGCTCATGTAAACATTATTAGAGCAGAGATGTAGGACAACGGAAGTCATTGCGCATTTTTTTCATGACACGGGTTTCCAAAAGTAAAAAAAAAAAGACCCGTTGGGGTTCCTTCAGCAGCACCAGACAGTCTGAAAATACGTCTGGAAACGCACACACATTACAAGGTTCAGTTCATATATGTTGATTCTTTAAACTTGTATTTCTTTTCTATTTGCTATATTGAATGTCATCTGCATAATTTGCATATTCTGCCACTGCGGGTTCATCTACATTTGCAGGACATGATTGTGGCTAATAGGAGTTTTAAGCATTTCTATCCGAGCGTTATACTCATTTTTTTTTTTAATGTATTTATGATTCTGACTTTCTGTAACATACTGAAAGTCATCATTCGGTAGAAAAATGTCCGTGGAGTATATTCTGATTGGTCGCTACTACTTTAGGAAGGTTTCTCTTTGTACCAAATCATCGGCCTGATTAAGGTTTAGCAGTTAAACATCCCGAATTAATATATTTTTGCAACTTTGACAGAGTGTGGAAGTCTTTTTAAAACATTATTAAAGCAGGAAATGCAACAACAAACAAGCTGGGGCTATAAAAAGCAGATGTCTAGTCAAAAAATGTATACTGAAGCACTGACTTAAACAAATAATCAAACATTTTGAGTCCTTATTATGAAGCTGAGTGTAGTAACGCTAGCAGCTGCCAAGTTTAACCGGTATGATTGATGACAGCAGCAGCTTTCTTCTAAACATCTGGGCGTCTATACATCGTGCTGCTTCACTGATCTCAGCAGCACCTCAAACTTTCCCTCCAGACTTGTCTGTGTAACGCTCGGTGTGATTACCTGGGGAGGTTGAGCAGACCTCCAGGTCCCTGCTGGCTCATGAAGTTGTGTCGCAGGTTGAGGTGGGTGATATCCTGACTGTAGAACAGATATTCAGGCACCGTTTCCAGGCTGTAGCAGGACAGATCCACCAGACTCACCGTCTGAGACACCACCTACACACACATACAGGTGGACACAAACACAGCAAGTTAAGAACAGAAGCCATAAGTGCTCAGAGTTAGTATTTTCTGTTTGGCTTGTCAGCATCACATCTTCCACATTAATCGATGTAACTCAGCAAACGTGACTGCGTTCTGTCAAGTTTTACTGAACTGCTTGTTGCTCAAAGTACAAAGTGTTGGAATCACTTCAAAAAGAGGACTGAAACAGAATCAGGGAGGTTGAGGAATGAAAAGCAAACTTTAATTACGAGCAGAAAATACTGGCAGACGGCAGCAAAATCAAATGTAACGCTGCACAAGATATCGTCTTTCAGTATCGGCATCACGATACGCGTGTCTTCATTACTCACATCACATAAGGAGCGACGTGAAGTAACGTTAACGCATCAACTTTATTTTCTCTGCTGGATACAAAAAGAAAAACCTGCAAGCTTCTCATTTTCCATGACGTCTGTCTTCTAGAACATGATTCACTCCAATTTAAGGCTATTTGGATACACAGTTTTATAAACTTTATTTAAATGTGACACCACAGAATGTAATCAATGTTATGACCCCGTGGGTGCATTTGTAGTATTTTGCTGCATTGCTCTTTCTCCTCAGTGTGTTTGTGATTTGTGAATGAGTGAATTAGAAGCAGGTGATGTCCGCTGATTGGCTGCCTCGCCTGATTCCTGCCATGTGATTGGTCAGGGGGCGGGTCCCTAATTTATTAGTAGTCAGTGTGCTGTGGATTTCGTGAATTTTGAAAACTTTGGCGAGGGTTAATTTAGAGTATTTTGTGTTTATTATGTTGCTACATGTCTCCCTCTGGACTTTTAAAATAAAAAAAAATGCTCCTTTTTGAACTTGGCATACTGGTTGCTGGCCTTTTTTGGAGTGGGAAGACTGGGGGAGCACAAACTCATGTTAAAGGTTCCCCTTGTCACAACCTTCTAGCCTTGGCCCAGCCCTTGCATGTCTCCCTCTTGGTCTCTCCCTGGTCTTCTTCTTCTCTTTCCCTGTCAGTACTCATCAGCTCAATCAGTGACAGCTGCAGTAATTGACTCACCTGGATCTAATCACCACTGCTCCATAAAACCAGTTCATCCCTCCACTCTCTGCCAGATCATTGACTCAGTTACCTGCTTCCCAGTCACTACTCAGCCTCCATGCCATGAAAAATCTCCACACTGCCTTGGATTCTTCAGCTGCTTCTTGGTTTCCCGTCCACCATCCAACCCTGCCCAGAACCTGTACCTGCCAAGCCCTCGTTGCCCCGACCTGTTCTGCCTGATCCTGACTCCCTCCCCACAGTCGGCCTGCCTTTCCCTTTGTAGTTTTTTTTTTTTGTGAGTACCCCTGTTTAGTAAACTCTAGCCAGCCTTTGTATATTTGTTCCTCTGTTAGTTTAGTTAATGATCTTTAGTGTTTTTTTGTAGTTTCACCCCTTTTTGGTTTTAGGTTTGGTTGTTTAATATTTAGTTTCCCTTACAGCTTAGATTCCCCTGTTCTTGTAAGTTTGTTAATCATTTAAAATAAACTCCTTGATTTGTCTCTGCCTGTTCTTGTGTCTGCAATTGGGTCCAAACCTGTTACATGACACCCCTAGACCAGGGCAGAACATTAATTGGGGGCTCGTCCGGGATTAGTCTTCTTTGTTGTGGTAAGTGTGATTGTTTTCTTAATCATCTCTGCTTGTTGGATGGAAGTTTTTTCAGCTGCATGGAAGTATTTTGGCCGTAGAAAGGACTGACGTTGACCAAAAACAGCTACTCTGTTGGCAACTTGTGTGTTTGACTATGTAAACCCGCAGCGTGGAGCTCTGTCTGAGGCCAGATCTGAATGCCATCCACAGCTAAAAACTACCTCTGCTAGCGTTACATAAAACAAGAAAGGTTCAAAAATGGAAAAAGAGAAATCACTGATTCGACTTCTCACCTCGCAAAAGACACAATCAACACATTTATCGAAGAGGGTTTAAAAAAACGTGCTCAACGTGGCGCGATAATTTATCCTCAAGTCGCTATCTCAGAGCTGCATGAATAATAGAAGAAGCAGAAGTTGAAGCAGAACAAGTGGAACATTATGCAGCTACAGCGGACAGTCCGACAACGTGGTGAACACGGTGAAGGCTGCTGGACCAGAGGCAGCTCGGTAACTTATTCCCATGCTATATTCACTCATCAGTTCTACTTAACAACCTGCCCTGTAATACAGCACTTTGAACAATTTAATATATCTTAGTTTTACAGCAATGTGTTGCTCTCTGCACACTAATCTCAACGTGAAGGGCACGGTGCTAATGAGGCTGAGGAATGATGAAGGATGCAGACTGTCAGATTGATGGCCTGAGCTCTGGATGCCAGAACTGATCATCTTTGGCATTAATGTGAATTTATAAATAACCCCCAGAAGCTAATGTTTTTTTTTTTTACAAAATCACTCATTCTTTCCAAATGGAGCCCATTCAAAACATCTGCCAAAACAAAATATTGCAGTTTTTCCAAATATTGTGCAGCCCCAGTAGGGAAAAGGTACAAAAGTCACCTAAGGTATAAACTGAAGGCCTGGAAAGGATGGTGCCAAGTACACAGATAAATCATTTGGGAAAGGAGCATTGCCAACAAAACACAGGCAAGTAAACAGAGGACGTGCTGAGAACATGTGAGCTGCTAAATGAGAAGGAGGAGGATGGAGCTATAGATATACAGGGAGAAAAAAAACACACAAGGAAAGAGATTATGAAGTTAAAGTGAATTGGAAAAAATAGTACAAAACTGAAACACACACAAAGAGAGAGACTAACAGAGGTGAACAGGAGATACCGAGATAAAAGGTAAATACTGCGACGCATTAGGAAAAACAAGAGGCCCAACAGGGAGCCATGAAGCAAGTCATAATAAAAGCTAAACACAGCTGATAATGCAGCACGACGCCGACATCCAGACTTGTTTCCATCCAT